AACCTTATTTTCAATAAGCAATCCTGAAAAATATTTGGGGGTGCTTAACTTTTTTCCAGGTGTATATTTTATAGATGTGATCCACTTCCATGGTTTGAGAGTGGAACCCACAGGTTGCTATTGTTCTCCAGCCTTTGTGCAGTCCAATTCAGAGGATGATGTTGCTTTGAAGTAGATCTGTCACATTGAAGTTCACTCCTTTGATTGGAAACCGTCATCCAGCTATCACCTGGATGTTGGTTCCCAGTGAGTGGTTTTGGATTAGAGCTGGACCAATCCTCTCACGTATTGGTTGTGTTTCCTCTTCCTCACTCAATTTGTCTCTGGATCTCAACCTCCGTACAGTATGTCGCACCCAAGTCACTCTAAACTTTGTAGCATGTCCATTTTAGCTCATCAATAATATAAGTTTAGCTACCAGTTTGGCTGCAAATTTTGATTTCATTCCTTTAAGTTGCATACTCAATCTGTTCTTGGCTGCACCTTTTTTTCACACCTAAGGTGTTTTTGATTAAATATCATGACTTTTTGTCAATACCAACCAACAAACCATACCAAATAATATTTACAGTTTCTTGTCACCACTCCCATGCAATTGGTAGAGCTGTATCAAGCATCATTATTTATACTCATTGCTTAAGCTAATATCACATGATGCTAAATGATCTTTAATTAAGATAATTTCATAAAATTTAGTAAATTTGTGCTGAAAAGTTGGCAATGAATAATCAAAAATAACTATCCACCCATATGATTCTTTTGAAAACATGAGCTAGAAACTGCTAATCTAGGTTGCTTGACCTAACCAATATTTATGTATCTGCACGTCCTTTTAACTTAGTTTTGATACTCTAAATCAGCCATTTTTAATCCGAATGACAAAAACTATAAACAGTTCACTTTTACTCTTAGGTGAAGCTGTAGTAAAAATGTTAGACCGATAGCTCACATGACTTTTTGCGTAGACTGTAGGGAGGAACATCTCATATGTGTACAAAGAAAATCCCATATTTAAAATGATTATACCTTAAAAAATTGCATGTCTTACAAGAACAAAATTTTACCAGATATGTATTTAGAATCACAACTTTTTATTTGGGAAAGACTGGATATTTAGGTAATTTTATCTGTTGCACCTAACAATAAATCATATTTGATCTGCATTATTAGAGCTTTTAGGCACTAATGATGCTATTAAAAACTCCTCATTGATAATCAGCTTAAAGCACTTCCAGTAAAGGCATTGAAAATTAGTAACATAATCCAACTATTAGTAGACCAAGGAAAAAACGTCCTAAGTAAAGATATCCAGCTAATATTACTTCATAAAAGTTTTGACAGTTAAGCCTAATTTTATATTTATTTTGTCTACTGAACTCATTGTTTAATTTGATTTTACTAAACTTTTTGGAGAAAATTATTTATGATTTATGCAGCTGATGTAAGTTTTTTACATAATATGTTAAAACTATGTCACAGATTGCTTTCAAAGTATTCACAAGTATGAAAAAAACCTCAAATCCTTGATAAAATCCTTTATAGTACGAAAGCAAAATGCATATCAATGAGTCAGAATTGCATGGCAGGATAGAATACTTGTTCCTGATGTGTGTTTTAATGTTCACTGGGCCAAATAAAAGATAATAAGTTGTTTTGTGAGCTCATGCAGTAGTAAACCAAATGGAATTCAAGTTCGTTTTTTTCATGTATGTGTAGTATTTATATATCTTGCATTGTTTGTATCATTAGAAATATTTGTTCTGCCTTATTCTTGATCTTTGACGACTGAACACGTATAGGGCATAACTACCTCACTTAGCACTTGGTCAGTTGAAGGTTACATAAAAGCACAAGAAGTTAAAAAACAAAGTATTTGTTGTAAAAATAAAAAAGAAATCTTCCATAACATTTTATATTTTAGTGCTGACTGGCTTATTCTAAATTATTCTGTGGTAATAATTGACTTTCCTATAAATTACTGATTAGTGCTTAGAAGCGTTTTATTTACATTCTGAGTTATGTGTTTAGGTATAGGCATGCAACGGTCTTAAGATGCATGTATAAATACAAAATTAAACTATTTACTTACATCACTAGTTTGCTTGCATCATAGCATAGAAAACAATATTACATGAAAACCTTCAAAAAAATTAAATCGTAATTTTCTCAATTCTTCATCCTACTTTGGTTTGGGGGGGGGGTAGATTTTCTGCTTGTTCCAATGTTCCTCCAATTATCAGTCTAGCTTTTAGTAAATCATTATTTATATGTTGAACAAAAACAGAAAATTGAGATGCATTATGTTAAATTTTCTTTGTAATGTAGATTTTTCTTTTAGGTGTAATTAGTTATTTGCTTTCTACTGTTAAAGGTTCTTGCTGCTAGCGATCTTGACAGTGATGATTTATCCCTCATCTTCAGTTTGACTGAAGCCCCATATTATGGTTCCTTGATGGTTGGAAAAAAAGCCACAAATCGTTTCATGCAAAGAAATGTCACTAAGGGAGAGGTATTTTAAAAATAGTAGCATGATTTGTCCTTTATTTTTTAATAAACAGTTATTTTTCTATTAGTCAGTTAACACAACTTATTATGTTTGTATTACAGAAAAGCTGTTGATAATTACATAATTGTAATTACATGTCCAAGAAAGAATGACCATTTTGATACCTAGTGTTTCTCTTTTTAAGTTTGAAGTAATTATGTTAGGAGCATCTTGATATTAAGGCTGGTATTTGTTATGATTCATTTAAGCTAAAAGTGTCCCAAAACATCTTCATAACATATGATCAAAGCAAGATGTCTGTTAATACAAACCTTCCAGATTATGCCTTCTTGCCAACCATGTCTCTAAAATAGCATGGATTTGAGAAATGCTTAGTAGTTTTTTTAGATTACCTTTTCATTCCTAAAAATGTTTTTGGGTTAAATTATATTTGTTTGAAAGCTATAGAAATTTTATTCTGTTAAACAAAAACTAGTTAGCCTATTTAGGTTTAGAAAGTAAGATAGGCAGTGGCAAAATATTATGATGATCCAAATTTGTGTTTATTGAATATTATTGTTAAACTTATCATAGTCAAAGATTGCACCTAAATAAAAGAATTTATAATTTATTGAAAAGAAACTATTATCTTTGATAGGTTGTTTAGGCAGAGTATTCATAATGAAAAGGTCATCCTCTACAATTGTAGGTTTCTACAACAGGCAGTTGCTGTCCATTTGAAACTTAGATTCATTAAGAAACTATTAGTTATAAATTGATCTTGACCATTTTAAAAGGTCAGGCCCAAATCACCGATATATTTTTGTCAGTTTCTGTGATGTTTTTGTTATTTATAGGCAGAAGCGATGTCTACTGGAATTGGAAAAGAATCAAAAGAAATATTTATTAGTTATAAGTTGACCTTGTCCATTTCTAAGGTCAGATCCTACATCACTAATATACTTTTGTCAGTTTTTTGTGTGATTGATAGCCATAAGTGGTGACTACTGGAGCAGGAAAAGTACAAGAGAGATATTTTAATAAATATCAGTCAAGTTGAAACTGTTTGGGTATATAAAATGGAACATTCTGATCAACTTTTAAAAAAACTAAAATTTTAAGACAAAAGAAAGTTTTTAAAACAGTGTCTTACCAAACAGTTTTTAGATTTCACGAAATAAAAAAATTGCAGTGTTCGAAATAAATTTTGCAAAATTGTTGGAAACTGATTTTGTCATATTCATTCGTTTAATTTTATTCATCTTTGTTTCTTGCCCTAGGTTTTGTATGTTCATAATGGAAGAGAAATTGGTGAAAAAGGAAAACAGGATGCTCTAATCTTTGTTGTTTCAGACAGACCATTTCCCAGACTTTTTGACCAGCCCAAGCACACTGTAACAGTTCTTATACTACCTATGAACAACCGCCCACCACAGATTCATTTTCAGAGAGCTGTCCTAGTGGAGGAAGGACAACAAGCAGTTATTGATGATAAAATAATTTCTGTAAGTGATGCAGACACTCAGATATCTATGTTAAGGTGTTTTGTGACTAAAGAACCAGATTTTGGTTTTCTGGAGAACACAAGACCTTTGATTGAATATGAAACAGAAAGGAGAGGACGAGTGGCACACACATTCTTGTTTGAAGATGTTCAAGCAGGCTACATATATTATATACAGTCTAAACACAAGTAAGTGTTAACAGTGAGTTATTAATATACTGGTTTTCTTGGTGTCTTTTTTTTAGCTTTTCTGTGTTTTATACTTAATTGATTCATCCCTATTTTTTTAATTAACCCTTTTGCTACGGGTCTTCCTATGGTCAGGGGTCAAAGGGCATGTCATCATGTTTTTGGACTTATGTTCAAAATTTTATTGATCTACTATTTTATGAATATATGCCAGTATGTTTGGTATCACATTGTAGAGTATAATTTAAATTTTAGTATAATACATTAGTTAATTTATTAATTTAAAAGTAAATATTAAAACAAAATTCCTAAATATCAATTTTTGTGTGTCTCATGATATGTTGAATGCAGCTTTGGTTCAGATTAGATGTTTGTGACATCTAAATACAAAGTGTATAGTTTCTTATGAATTAGAAACTCAAATTTCCGATACTTACAAGCTAGAGTATAAAATAAGAACCTCCTATCTTTTCTATATGCTGAGATATCACTACATTTAGTGAATCAAACAAGTATGTTGCCTAGTGAGGGACATTCATTGGCAATATTTCATATTTCAGTAGAGTAAGGGGCAGCATGTTTAAGCAGGACTGAGTTTTTTGCAGTTAAAAAATTTTTAAAGCATTAAACTATTCTGTCATAGAAGCTCAGTAATGGCAAAATAATTTGTCAGGTTATTACATATAGAGTTTATAAATGCTTCTAAACAATTTTTACTTACCATATAGAGACTGAAAAGTCACATCCCAACCTCAGTTCTTCCACCTTCAGCAGTCTCTTGAGTCGAGACTGTGCTTGCAAGCTTTCCACTGAGGCATTGTGAAAGTGATGGAGATTATGAGACTTGTAGGCACAGGCTGGGAAATTGTTAAGTGAAAGCTACTGCCCAAACTACTCATTTTAGATATGTTTATTGTTCTTAAAATTATAAAGTGTTACAAAACGTTGGAGGGTTGCAACTATCCCCTCAAGTGATGCCCCTGGTGACATTCCTGAATATGGATATATCTATATATATATATACACACACACAACTTAAACTGAAACAGCTTATCAGTGATTCGTTTCTTACAAAAAATGCTGAATTTAATATAATATTGTTTTTTCATTATGATCTTTGATAAGTTGCACAACAGGCTTTTATTATTGTGATGCTTATTCAACAAAATATTACCAAGCAACTGAAAATCATCCCAATCCTACTATAAGTACTTCATATGTAAATTGGAGTCCAACCAATCGCAATGTAACTCGGCTTTGAAAAGAGCCTGAGGCTAATGGGGCTGGATAGAGGATATATTTATATATCATATAGTAAACAAGGTGGATTTAGCAACAATTTGTGCTTTTATCAACATATTAGCCAGGCAGAATGAACATAGGATGAACAAATGATGTGAATGCAACATTTTAACACTAAGGAATAAACCAGAAACCTAAGAATTTTTTAGTACTTCTTTCCACATTCTTTTCATTCCTGATAAAAAAGTTTTTGTGTTTTATATTATGTCTGTATGAAAGCTACAGGAATATTTTTGAAAAGATGTCAGGTAAGGAGAATTTAGGTGAATATGAATAACAAAAGCAAACAACATAAATCTAAATGCTGTAAAAATTTGGCTTAGTGATAAGCATTAAGCAACCATGATAATTCAGTTAGATAAATCGAATTTTAATTGCCAGCAACAGAAGCTTTGTTATTTTCAGAAGTAATTCAGTGAACTGTTTTCATCATTTTATGGATTACTACCTAATGTATTCATTCAGTGCATGGAGAAGATATAGTCCACCCAGTGAGTGTTCTGAATGCCAATCCTCCCTCTTCTTAACACTTCCCAGGGGGTCTTATGGTGCATGCAAAGTTTGGTTGAGATTGGTGAAAAAGTGTAAGCATGAAAAGAAAACACACAGATGACACTTTTGCTTTGTGTACATAGATTTATAATGAAAAAGTAAAACTTAAAGCAGTATCAGCTTTTCAGTATTTAATTAAATCTGATGCATCTAAATGTTGACAATTGGTTTGATTATCTTTAGGCTTCATGAGTTCTAAGGAATTAAGTCATTTCATTTCTGTTGTATGTATAGTCAATATTTAAATTTTTTTCAACAGTGTAAAAATTAATCTATTTTGTGATGATTTACTTCTCTGATTTCTGTGTTGTTTAGTGTAAAAACCAATGAACAGCAGCATATATCTTTTAGACACTTATGCTGAGGATCTAGTGCTTTGTCTGTATTTACCTAAAAGTGAGCTAACTCTAAAAATCCAAATCGATATTTTTAAACTGTATACTTAAAAAATATTTAATTCTTAGTATTGGTGTTACATCTATCCTACTTACTGTCAAGATTTCAGTAAACCCTACTAATAATTTGTCTGCAGAATATTAGTATATGAATAGGTTTAATGACTGTAACTATCTGTTATTAGATACAGGAATTGCAGATCAATGACAGTGGTTTGATTTTTTATTTTATTTTTTTTTGTGAATAAAACAGTAGATATATAACAAGACCATTACCTGTTATGTTGATGATTACTTAAGAGATAATTTTGTGTTCACAACATCACTAAAATCTGTGATCTAACATTTTTAGCTGCAGCATAGTGGCTCATATAACGGCTCTGAGTTTTGTTTTTCAAGTATATATTTTTAGCTCATAGTTCTGTCATGTCTTGACCGATTTGAGATCTAATTACAGTTTTGGACTCAGGAGGTCCTTTCAATTGATATATTTGACCATGCCCAGGGTCTCATAGATTAACTTACTCTAATCCTGCCTAAAAGTATTTCAATTTGAGAATAGGCTGGTGATAAAATTGAATCGGGTGTACATGCACCCCATGCTTGACATTGCTGGCACACGAAAATATAACTAATAAAAAAGAGGAAAAAGGTCTCATAGATTAATTTACTCTAATTCTGCCTAAATGAATTTCAAGTGCTGCAGCTATTGAGGATTCCCTCTTGTTATGTTAGAAATAAAAGGGAGAAAACATGGAAAAAGTTTCACGTGGATTTGGGTTCAGGCAGTTTTACTTTATGTACTGAGTAAAAAATATATTCATCAGTGGTGGCAATCTGGATTAAGGCATAAGATAACTAAGCTACAGCTTAGGGTCTCATAATATATTGGGCCTCTTAGCTGCCTCTAAAAAAGAAAAAACTGTCTCTATTTACATTTTTTATTGTATTGGGCATTTTAAACTTAACATAGCTTAGGGTCTCAGAAGGTCATAATCTGGCACTGTGGTGGATAAGAGTAGTAGAGTTACTAGAACTGAAAAACATCATCAGTGGAATGTGAAAGCTTTTTCCATACTACTTTAGAATATTATATCTTTAATATTGATTTCTTCCAGAGGGTTGGAACCAGAAGCAGATTTTTTTGAGGTGATGGTGTCTGATGGAGTATTTAACACTTCTTCAGTTTTGGTCAGCATTAAGATAATTCCTGTAAATGATGAAGTTCCTTTGGTGACTCTTAAGAACTTAACTGTACCTGAGGGAGGATTAGCAAGATTGGACCCTGATACTTTGACAGTGACTGACAGAGACTTCCCAGGTAACATAATAACTGTAAGGATAGAGACAGCTCCTAAGTCAGGATCACTGGTCCAGGTTGTACATTTGGATCATGCTAACATGGAGAGAGATTTACCATTTGTTGAACTAACACTTGATGGATTCTACCAAAATGTCCATTACAGGCATAGTGGTAATGAGAATTTCTTTGACTGGTTTACTTTGGCAGTTAGTGATGGAAAAAATACAGTTTCAAAAACAGCATATGTTTCTGTGACACCTCTGAATGATGAACCTCCTCGGGTTTTTAAGAATATTGGAGGTGAAGTGGATAATCAAGGAAATTTGTTATTGTCCAGTGCATTGTTACTAGCAATTGATGAAGATACACCTCCAGAGCAATTGATATATCATGTTACTACACCTCCAAACCTTGGAATTCTTCAAAAGCTTCAACGGAAGTGGTTGTGGACTGTTCTTGATCCCATGAATTTCAGTCAAGAAGAGATTAGTAACAACCTTATCAGGTAAATTAATTAATCATATTTGCTTTACTATAATAAGTAAATGTACATGTAAGTTTACTTTAGAAGCAGAGCCATCTTTCCAGTATTTATGTGTGTGTTTGTATAGTTAGTTAGATAATGACTTCAAAGATTTATATGGTAATTCGTTGTCATTTCATAAGTAAACAATTCTGGAAATTATTATTATTATCAATTTTTTATCTTTTAGATTAGAGCACTGTTGAAGGCATGGATATTGCTCTTCAAAGAGATGTCATCAGTGCATAAACATAAATGTACTGTAATTGATGATGATGGTTTATTTCAGCTTGTGGTTACTTGTTGAAAATTATATATATATATAAATTTTATGTGATAAATTTGTAATGACCTCATTTAAGGAAAGGTGATGGTTTAATTCCATTATGTCTAAAATATAAGTCAGTATAGTTAGATTCAACAACATAATAATATTGATACTTAAAATATTTTAAATACTAAACTCATTACAATTTTTTTTTGTTTTTTACACAATACAAGTCTGTTATGCAGGAGAATTTTCCGAGTTTGGATTTATGAACATGGAAACTATTGGATTTGATCATGTTCTTTTATAGGAAACGTGACAAAAAAAAGCACTGCATATGTCTGTCATTACCCAACAATAGTAAAATCCAACTGATTGTTTACAGCAGTGCTAAAGAACATAATAAACATAAATATTGTATTAGAGTTCTCTCACAGATGTGTTTTTCCAAACAACTTTATTATGTTAAATACAGATATATGTGCAAGGAAAAGAAGTGAGTATAAATAGTTAAATTTTTATTACAAGTATTATCTTGATATTTGAAATGCATACAAGTGTTGCAGTTCTTCTGGTTCTTTGTATGCAGAGAAATTGTTAAATTTTAAATACATCGATAAGCATTTGGTGAATTTACACTGTTTATTTTTTTAAATTAGTGTTTGCTGTATACAATAATTTCTTTTAAGAACTTTCAGTTTTGTTATACCTGTTACTTTTTATTTTTTTCAGATACTCATATCAAGGGTTAAGCACTTCTTTGAAGCAAGACAGTTTTCAGTACTCTGTGGGTGATGGTGTTCATCAAACCAAAGTATTTTTGTTTCCTATCCTCTTGGCTGACTTTCACAACAGAACAACAGAGTTCAGGTTAAATGGGACAGTTGTTCCTTTTGGAAGTCATGTTACAGTTAGTAGAAACTCCTTTGGTGATGTTATGGAGGACCTGGAAGCTGAAGATTTTTTTATTGTAACACGTACACCACAATATGGTCACTTGGAGATAAGTTCAAGTGCAGGAGAGCCAATTGGTCAGTTCTCTTTGCAAGAGTTACTTGATGGACAAGTTATATATAACCACACTGTTCAAGATATACAAACTGAATTGGATAGTTTTGATTTTATGGTAGTCAAAGGAAATAGAGAGATTACTGGTATATTTCCAATCAAAATTTCTCCTATTATTGATTATTCTGTGGTTTTGACTACTTTAAAGAAATTAAAAGTGTTTCAGAATGGGACAGCAGTAATATCATCAAATCATCTTGAGGCCAGAGGTGATCAATTAGCTCCAGAAGACGTGCATTTTATTGTTGTAGAATACCCTCATTTTGGTATTTTACTGAAGAACAACAGGGACATTGTACAGAACTTCAGCCAAGAAGATATCAATAAGGGAAATGTCTCGTATAAGAAGGAGTCATCTAACTTTACCACATCAGACAATTTTGTTTTCCAGTTGTCTAGTAAGAATACAATAGCACATAAATCAGAAGATGGAAAGCAAACAAATTTTCGGTAATGAGATTTAGTTTGTTATTAGAAGTACAACAATATTCCAACTTTAAAAGTTACTGTTTAAATGACAAAAATTGGTTTTTAATGCTTTGTTAGTTTTGTTTTCAGCATTTAAAGTATTATATTGCATATATAATACTGTTTCAGATGATCCTTTGTTTCTCATAATCCAGTCCATCTGACTAGTTCTGGTACTGACTTAAAGGTCACTTGGGCAGTGTTGTGGGAGAAAGAAGATAGATCTGAAATGCTATTTTTACATGCCTCTAATTTCAAGTTTGCAATAGATAAATTAAGAGGACTGTGGGAGATGTAGTTAACATAATTTATTCACAAATTTTAGGCATCATATTTCAACTTAATCTTTTAATGTGTAAACTTCTCATGACTTCTTACTCATGATATATATGCTTGAATTTATTATTTAAGTGTCTCTGAACCTCTGCTAATATTTAATCATACTAGTTAGAAAAATAAAGCTGTCTTTGTGGCTGTGATTCATGAGTAAAAGATTATTGGACTAATAATGTTAGCATTGGGCATTTCCTTGACATAGGGTATAAGAATATAAACCTGAAAGTGATTGGCATTTTCAGGAGAAGCTGCTTCCATTAAATTGAACATTTCATATACAAAAGTACACACAGAGTTTCTGTTATGTGTATGTAATATTAATACGAAAATAGTTTGAACTTACAAATTATTTATGAACCAGGTGGGATTATAAGAACTTAGATATCATTCATCATTGCACTAAACTTGGATATATATAAGATTTCATTAGTCCTACAAGTTGATCTCTGAGTGAAAACTGAAAAATCAGCAATGATTATTTTGTGTCTCAAAGAATTTTGTGTTTGAGAGTTTGATAATATTTTATATCATAATCAAAATATGAATATTGTTTTGTAGTAAGTATACATGTTTATAAGTATTCATGTTGTGTGTTTGTGTATTTATATATAAATATAATATTTTCTTGCAGTTTTGAAATTTTATTTAATGGAAAAAAAATGGGCTTTCCATCTGTTTTGAAAGTGCAGTCACCTGAACAAGTAGAAGATTTTGGAAAATGGAGAATATGGTTTCACCCTAACAACTAGAAATTTGATGGCTGTCGGTGAAGATTCAAATGTAGAAGAACTACAATATGAGCTTATAGGCTTGCCACAAAATGGTTTTCTCAGAGTGAAATCTTATAGTCAACCAGTAACATCTTTCACTCAATTAGATGTTAACGAAAAAAATGTCCGTTATGTGATCCATGACAGTAAGGTTAATGCCATGAATGACAGTTTTACCTTTAGAATAGTTAGTAATGGAAAAAGTGAAAAAGAACACAGGTAAGAATTAGCAAAATGTGTTCACATATAGATATTTTTCAAAGAATTTAAAATATGTTTGTGTAAAATCAAAAGTTTATCACATAGAATTATAGTTGCTTATTTCATTTTATTAAGGGGTGAGAAACAAATCCTTATATGCTTTTATACATGTATTTATACATGTATTTTCATAAACCACATGATCTTTACTTTTTTGTACAAAATATCTACTTAGTGGGTGCTTCTATATGACTCAATTAACAACATCTGACAGAACTCTCTAACATATGAAACTGTGTAAAGCATTTATAAGAGAAGCTTGGCTAGTGTAATAAAAATTTAAAATAGCTTCTTCTTTTTTTTCAGACTATTTTTGTTGCATTGATTGTTGTTGTTTTTTCAAATGTATGTAGTTCTTTTTTATTCTTAGTTCATAAAAGCTTGTGTTTATTTCATGATCATGGAAATTGTTTTTACAGTGAAGGAAGTGTAAGGATAGATTAGCTAACTGTAATATTTCTCAATGTGTTTCAGCATCGTTCTACACTGGTCTGTGGCTCAGTTTTCTTTGCCAGAATATAGGGTGTGTGAGAACCAGAAATATTTCATAGTTGAAATTTTAAGACGAGGATCATTGAATGGATCTTCTTTTGTGACAGTTTTAGCAATAGACCAAACAGCACAGGCAAAAAAAGACTATATTCCAGATAAAGCTAATATCATTCAATTTGATCCAGGTATATAGTTATAATTACATATTTTTTTTATTCAATTAAATTAAATATTCATCACAATAAAAATAGTTTTTATAGTTACATTTAAGTCATTACATTATTTTATTTTAAAAACTGCATGCATATAGGTAAAATAGAACTAAAGAAAATATATGTGTGTATATATGACAGATAGTACAACTAAGATTGTTCAAGATAATGAAATTATTATTGAGAAAGTTAGTTTAAAGATCTTAAAACTTTCCTTCAGAATGTACCCCTATCCATATGCTGGTGAAGTGGGTGAATTTTATTTTTGCAACCACATTTAAATAGGTGGGTATTTAAAATTTAAAACAATAATTCTACATGTATTCATTTTTATTTTTAATAGTAACAGTATTTTTATTTCATACAATCAAGTTAGCATTAACTTTTCAAAACTAAAAAAAAGCAAAGATATACCATATATGGGATTATAGGGTGATCTCAAATATAAGGCTACCCCCATTTTCTGAAACCATCATGACAACTAAGGTTGAGAAACAGTTAATAACTAAAATTAATAAATCTACGCTTGTATTAGCTACAAGGTCATTATGGTGACATTTTCTTCAAAACTATTTCAACTTTACTTCTAGGACACTACGAGTGCTATATTATCCTCATAAAAATTCAGGAAATTCAAATTATGTATATAAAATTTAATAACTAAAACTTTTTCAAATCTTATTGCCATGGGTATCCATTACTGTGCATGACACAAGGTTTTTAGTGTCTTGCAAATTTTATTAAACTACTTTTTATTTATGTTATACCATTTGGTATAGCATAAAATGTTATCTAATAATCCATATCTTAATAGTATATAAGTGTTAAGTTCTTAATTCTATAAGAAAATATATTTAAAAAAATCCTGAATTTCTCCTAATGTGAGACACATGACACATGTTCTCTAGGTATCTTCTCTTCTCTATTTTATCCACCACCTCTTTAGTAACTACAAAATTAAACATAAATTACTCACTATAAAATTGTCATTGTTCAGTCAAACCATAATTTTTATAGCCTTCAATTTTGTTTTGTTACAGAGCTATCAAATAGAAAATCAGATCCCTCCTGTCACATCCTTTCTTTCAGGATTTGTTAATAGTTCTTTCTTATGCTTAATTATATATTATCTATAACCAATAGAAAGCCAAGGTTTTATTCACCACCCCTATATTAACTACAAAATTAAACATAAATTACTCACTATAAAATTGCTATTACTCAGACAAACCATAATTTTTATAGCCTTCAATTTTGTTTGGTTACAGAGCTATCAAATAGAAAATCAGACCCCTCCTGCCATACCAACCTGTCACATCCTTTCTTTCAGGATTTGTTAATAGTTCTCTCTTATGCTTAATTATATATTATCTGTAACCAATAGAAAGCCAAGGTTTTCACTTATCAAATAATGTATTCTATTACATTGTGTTCTGAACAGATAATGATCAATTTTACTGGTAGTACAGGCTTCATTCCCACAAGAAAGGTAACAATTAGCTTAGATGAATTTGTAACAGTTCTTGTCGCACAGCTAGAAAGCCAGAAAAATTGTGATTGTTAGTGGAAATGGTCTGTTTTTTGCATGTTATTATTTGATGTTCTTTTGTGCATTATTTAATGCACCACTACCATTAGTATAAAAAAAAAGTAGGGTTAAGTGTCATCGATAATTGAAAGCAAAAAAAAAAAGAATATACGCTAGTAAGTACTTTATTTCTTGTTCTTCATGTTTATTCTTTATTTATTATTATAAAAGTAACTAAAATGTAAAATTAGGGATCTCTTTAGGTTATTTAAGGTTAGATTAGGTAATATAAATAATAATAATGTAATAAAAATATCTCACGATGCACATATGCGAGCAGCTCAGAGTAGCTCGTGAGTAAGGTAATTCAATAGCGTAACATGAACTGCACGTTTTGGTTGAGATGAAACCTTTATTAACTTATTATTTTCTTGTATTATATAAACCAGTTGATAAAAAAAAATCATTTGTTGACATTACAGGTACAACAATAGCTGTTTGGAATATTGAGGTAATCCAAGATGGATTGGTAGAAGCTCCGATTGAACAGATTCAGATTGTTCTCTTTGATCCTATCAATACGGTGATAAATGATGTTGGACGTGTTGCATTAATCAGCATACATGATGAGAGTTGGAGTAAGTTATTGTATTTTTTGTAAATTAAGAGAGATTAGAGTGATTTTTTATGTCTAGTTTTACTTGTTTATTGGTAATATTTTTAGTACTTATTGTTTTGATACATAGTTTTGGTAAAAATGATAAGATTATTATATAAGCTCTGTTTGTCTTAATAGTAGCTTTATATGTTTTGGTGATTCTGTTTGTCCAGTGGTAGTAATTAGATGAATCTGTTGGTTGATATTGGCTTGGCATGATTGATTATGTTTGTCCAGTAGTGTTATTTCTTATAATTGGCTCTGTTTACCTATTAATAATGGCATATTGCAGTAATTTCCAATACGGTACTTCCCTCCACTCACAAGATTAGCTATTCTCGTTCATTGCTGCCCTCTATATGTGAACTTTTTTATTACACATGCCACAAGCCTTCTGCACCCCCCTATTGGAATCAAATGATTCCAACATGTCTCTCATATAAATCGTCATGCGTCACTTCACCACCAATAGGATAATAGTACACTCATGGGACGCATGGGACTCTATGCACCTCTACCAAACTATCACTTCTTGTTTGGCAGCTCCTGTACTTGGAAATTTTTTTTTGTCGTTCTTTACTGTTTCACGTTCCTATTTAGTATACTCACGAAGTGGTCTTCATTTATTTTATAATTTATCCTTCTTACCATTAATTGATTTATTGGTTTCCCATGATTTATGGACAAGTTCATATCTACCATGGTTCCAGATTCTTCTTCAACTCAACATCATAAGAAGTGCATTCCCTACACCATTTCCTTTCTGTTTTTCACTACATTAACTATTTCATTTTGTTTTTCTTTATAGTTTATAATTTTTACAGTTACTTTAGTTTAATCTCTGTTTTATCCTTCATACCAGTAATTTAAATACATGTGTTAGTTCCTGGGAACCGGGTTCTGCCTTATCTGCTTCCACTATTGCTCACCTTCCACATATAATAGCTGAACCCATTTTCCAACATCCTAAAATTGTCAGTTCTCCCTGACATGATTATGGAATGTCTTCTGTATTTGTATAGCAGTATCTGCTAGACCTACTTTACACATTTTCAGACACATTTTGCGGAATATTATCATCATGTTTTCTGTGCTGTTTCTTTTCTTACCTGTTCACACTTTCTCTCTTTTCACATATTAGTTCTGCTCTTTCAGGCAGCATAAGGAAACTAAAGAATATACACATTTCCAACCCCAACATTAATTACTGGATTAATTGCAATCTTGAAAGTAATCTTGTGTGACTCAAATGTTAATAGAAACTCTGTAATCAACAAATTCATCAATACACAATCAATTTAATGCATAAGTAGTTTTAGAAAAAAGTGTATTTAAAAAAAAGCTGATGGGGTCCAGTTTACAGATTAGAATTTGTCAGGACTCTTGAGGCATGCGAACTGTCTTGCTGAGCTTAGAATTTGTTTTATTGTCTTATTTTATTTTGGACATGATAACTTAGTTGGTAAGAGCATTTACCCAGTTAGAAGAATAATGGTTTTGAATTCTACCTGATTCAAGATAATCACTTCCTCAGAAAAATTTTGACTTTTCTGGATAGTGTTCTTAAAACTACTTCTAAGTTTAATGTTTCATGTGTTTATTGTGCAGTTAAACCATATCTATTAGAATATAGGAAAGATAAAATGAGTTGTGTGTCCATTTTTATACAGAGCAAAACTACTGAATCCTTAAGAGAGGACCGCAGTTGAATATTTTGAAGAATTTCTTGATATGTCAGTTATATATAGAATAAAATATTAAACCTCCTCTTTTCTTCCCCTCTTTTTTGGTGCTAGCTTCTGGAATCAGTAAGATTACTTGAGTTTATTTAAATTATCTGAAACAGAATTGTAATACATGCTGATATAAGGTTAACTAAAATATCTGTATCTGACATCTTGTATAAGAAACATTGCAAGCTGTTCATTTCATAATGTTCTCTTTATTTTTTTCATAACCTATACTTGTATGAGTAAAGATACAAAATATGGAGCCTGTAGTACAAACATACTAGTAAGATATCAACTTGCAGGCATTTATTTATTGATCAGAAATTTCTTACTTTAGCATTAATGTCTGTATTATGAGAGTATTTGTAAATGTAATTGATTTTCAGATGATTGTCAGACAACAACTGGAAAAAATAGTGGTGTTGCACCTGACTGGTCCAGTATTCCAAAGAATATTCCTGATACCTCAGGATGGGGAAACTATCCTGTAAGTATAGCATATATAAGCTAATACTTTTAGTTCTTCAGATTTCAATAAAATAAATTTTTACTAGTTGCCACATGTATTTTTCTGTTTGCAGTAAGCTTTCATTAACAGATTATGCTCTTTCAGCCATTTGAATGTTATAATGTAATGGTTAATCCCATTATTCATTGACAAAAGAGTAGCCCAAGAGTTGGAAGTGGATGGTGTTGACTAGCTGCCTTATCTCTAGTCTTTCACTGCTAAATTAGGGACGGTAGTACAGATAGCCCTTTTGTAGGTTTGCATAAAATTCAAAAACAAAAGAAATTTAAGTTAATATCATTGTTTTAAAATAAAACTTAAATAAATACCCAAACTCCTTTTCTATTGTGTAGGAATGAGTCTAAAAAAATAATTATTTTTGAATAATCTGCTAGTTCAATTGTTTTCGTAAAGGCACATAATAAAACCTGTTTTGAAAATGAGATATTCAAGACTGATTTCTATGGAAAATGATGCCATACTGAAAAATAGAGGATTTCTTTATCTTACCAAGAGTGAAACATTGTGTATATATTGATTGAATGTTGACTGTATGGTACCAGATGTTCATAAAAAATTAAATATTACAAAAGAGATCAATATGCAAATTTAAAAGGTGTGCCGTCTCCTATAAACTCTATTTTCCTGTCATCTTTATAGTTTTTTTATTTAATTCAGCTCTTCTAACTGAGACATCTATTTTTGTTTAACATAACTATCTTCATTTTTTCTCCTTACTGTAATTTGTTTTGTCAATCATAGTTCTTCTCCCCATTGTCAGTTTTTGTTAAACTTAGTTTTCCTCATTTTTAGTCTGTTTTGCCAGAGACATTTCTCCTAACTGTAAACTGTTTAGTTTTTGCAGTAGTTCTTAACACTGTAATTACTTTTCAGGTATAGTTCTCCTCACTGTAGCCTCATTTGTTATGCATAATATTCTTCAGTATAATTTATTTTGTCAGACATTATATTCCTCAATGTAATCAGTTTTGTCAGACATAATTTTACTCACTGTAATCAGTTTTGTTTAGCATAGCTCTTCTCTTGTTAATTCCCATAGTTTAACCTCTTAAGTGTTTTGTTTCATTTATTTCCACTGCATTATGTAAAAGATCCTGACGACAGTCTTCATACTCATTTAAGAGGTAAATATAGCTACCCTAACAGTATGTTATTTTTTAAGTAGTGCTATTTTATTATTTGAATTTTTTTTCTAAAGTAATGGTGTTTTAGCTCAGTGCTCCTCACTATAATGTTAACATTTTCCTTATTTGAAAATATATTTCAGATAGATATTTACCTCTCTGCACCACATAAAGTTATTATTTTACATGCATTCCCATGTAAATTCCTATGCATGCCACAAGCCTTAAGCAAAGCTCTCACCTCTACATGTATCAATATGTTTTTCACCAGCCTATGGTATAAACATCATTAGACTATATCCCATCACCAACAGGTGGGCAACACATCCTTCAGGCTCATTCTTAATGAGGCAAACTAAATGCCCCAAAAGTGGGGCAGAAGTGTGGTAGGTGGTGCAGAGAAGGGAGTATCCATCTGAAATACATTTTCAGATAAGGAAAATGTTAACTTCAGAAATGCTACTCACCTCTCTTCATCACAAAGAGTCATAATCCCACACTGAAGATGGTGAAGGGGCTGATGCAGAAAAATTATAGAAATGTGCTCCTTTCTTAAAACAGCACATCAGAAAGAAAAAGCTTGTGTAGTGTGACACGCATGAAGTGGAGAGGGGGTACCCTTGTGGGGCAACATTCAGTGGGAGACCACATCCATCTCAAGCATCTCTTTGCCCAGTAAATGTGGTAGAGCATAATATGTTGTCAGGTGCTAACATTTTGCTAAGGTGGACAGAACCTGTCCATTGTCTCGCAGGCAGACAGTTGAATGTGAGAGTATAGTGTGGCTAAGGCTAAAAGTAAGGTTTTTCCATGTCAGAGAAATATTTACTTGAGATACCACAAAAATCAGGTGCAGGTAGTAGCATCCTAAGGTCCTTGTCCCAAGGCAAAACTAAGACCCATCTTGTTGGACCTAACAACTGGAAATGGCTTGGTTCATAATGTAGTGACGTATCTTGTACTACATTACCAGATAACACCCCACTCTACTTCCCAAGTCTCATGTCCTCAGTCTCATGCCAGTGGGATTGCACCTCTGGAAGAGGAACTCTCCATGTCAATTTTACCAGTGGCTTGTCACTGAGGAAGCAAGGGTCTCCTGTATTCTATTAGAAAAAACTGGGGGAGGGCTTGAAGGAAAACACTGATGAGGTGCCTGGACCATTGTCATCAGGCACAATCATCTGGAATTTGATCCCACACTGAGAAACAGTGCAGTGGGCTACCATGAGTAAAAACTGTAGGTGCAAGCCATGTGTGAGAGCAAGCACATACCCAGACTTTTTGGTTTTCATTTGTTGTTATTTTTTGTCAATTGCAGAATGGCTTTGAAAGATACATATATAGACATATAGTGGGGCTCCATCATCTCCAAAATATAGACACAAAAATAGTTTTAAATAAGTGAGATCTGGTTAGATTTGGTGTGAGATCTGAAAAAGAAAGGAGAAAAATAAACAATTCACTATCAAAGCCACTATGAAGAGTGGAGAATGGTGACTGAAGGGGGAGATGAAAGCCAGGGTAGGTGAAATCTCTCAGTGGTGTAAGTAGTGGGACACTAATTTGTCGGGGGTTGTTTACATCCCCACTTGCAAGATCTCATACAAGCGATGTTGATGGCCAGACGTAAGAAAATCCTTTAGAGGACAAACATGTTGGGAGAAGACATTAAAATAAGAAAAGGGTCATCACTCATAGAAGAAGAAACTAGATGGATAGAGTGCATAAAGATGAACCTCTCCCTGTGGTAAATAGTGCAGGAGGAGGCCAACACAAAAATGAGTTATGGCTCCTGCAAGAAATATTTTTAAAGCATTTTAAAGGAAGTTGAATTACACCAGACACAGAGCATCTTCAGCCAGAGTTGTAGAATCTGGGATTGGATGCCAAATGAGTGGAAGCAGGGAGTGGTGGAGATATAGAAAGATATTGGTAATAGGATGCCCATAGTGAGAGCAAGTCACTGGAAACATCAGAGGATGGAAAGGGTCCATGCCTAGTTGAAATAATAGATCTATCCTAGAGTCTGAGATTCTGAGACATGATAAGTTGACATTTAAGACATGATGGCAAGTTGGAAAATAAGTACTTGCTAGTTGTCCCAATAAAGTTGATAGGGTCAGGATGGAAAGCCTCAAATGAAGAAGAATCTTGAGAATGAACCAAGACATTGAGAAAGAAATAAGATGAGCAGATGGAAAGAAAACGGAAGGAAAAGAGGAAATCCTCAAACTCAAAGAACAGAACCAGTTGAAGGCGGCTTGTGTAAAAGGGAGCCTGAGATTCAGCAAAAAATTACTGGAGAAAGAGAAAACAAAAGACACTTTTCTGTGGAATTCAAGCATAAAAGGACAAAAGTGTTACTATCTGATCCACTTCCTGAAGAATGAACGAGAAGCAAAAAAGGTGGGCAGATTCAGCTTAAGTAATAGAAGCAGGGGGTTGGAAATCCTGGATCAGAATGGAACAACCATGTGATGCAAAATGATAGTGTTATCATCAGCTGTTAAAGTATTTCCATTCAACATCACAGTATTGGATGATTCCTGGAAAGGAATATTAAAAATCTCAGGAAATGTCAGAAATGTAGAAACATGAATGCATCATCCTGTTATCACAAAATTGATGTGGTGGTGGTCCTTTTTAGTTTGTTTTTAATGTTATCAGTTAGAAAGAAAAAGGGCCAGGTATGGCAATGGTGCATAGATTTAATGATGACTTTGAAGAGTACTGTATAAAACCTGTATGTGTGTGTCCCCAGAATTTTCAGATTGATTAAAAGAAAATCAAATTGAAGATAATTCAAATGAAAGCTCTAATTGACAAGTTAAAAATTTTAGAACCATTCTCTCAGTTAATGAAACACATTAAGAAAAGAAAGGCTACATGAAAAATAGTAATGAAAGATTAAAATAATAAGCTCAAAAATTCCAGTCCTGAGAAATAAATGAGCCTGTGATCATGTGCTAGTACTCATGTAGGACTCTTTGCTCTCCTGTTAGTGGAGAACTATAATCTAATGATGATTACATCACAGGCCAGTACAAAACATGTTGAGATGTGTAGGGGTTGGAGCTTTGTTCAAGGCTTGTTGCATTTGCATAGCTCTTTAAGGTGCAGAGAGGTGAGTAGCTTTTCTGAATTATTTTTTCTAGCATGAATCTCTCATTATAAATGTTCATTTCACTATATTCTGTTTTATTATATATAGTTTTCTTAAGGAATCTTTGGTTTGTATTGTTATCTTTATGTTAATGTTATTTTTCTAAATTAAGTGTCAGTTGTGTGAATAACTTGTTTTACTGTCTCAAAAATAGAACTTTGCTCTATACTGATTTAATTTTCTGTAAAGTTGACTTTAAAATAGTCTATTTTCTATAGCTTTGCAGCTCCTTCTACACAGGGCTTTTACACTTCAACCCTACCATCAGAGAATTCCAGGAATGTAATGGAGAAGATTGGGTTCTCTGGAAGCCAACGTCCAAAGACTCGTCGCATAAGTTGTCATCTAAGGAAGTAGTTGGGATGTCACCAGTAAAGAAAATAGATTCATCTTCAAAACCTCCTGGTGTATTGTTACCCATGACTAATAGATCCTCATCAGAAACACCACCACATGAGTTTCATTACATTGCTTCTTTTCAGAGAGGCTCTGATGTCCAACATAGGGATACAGTTTTGTCTGGTGGTTTGCCAAAAAATAATGACAATAAAGTGGTTCACAAAACAACAAAATCCCATTCTTCAGAATGTCCAGACGGTAATGATCACTAGCAAGCTAACCACTGTATATATATATATATATTTATATCTACAAACCATTGTAGGAAATAGCTATTTTTATACATACAACCAGCAGCAATTAAAAAAGCCCATTTATATGTTACATCTTTAAGTACACATATGTGAGTGTGTGATATGAATTTTAACTATGAAGTTAATTACTTTGAGTACAAAATAGTTTTTTGTTTAATTATTCATCATTACATGATGAATTCCAAAGTTAATTTTACCAGTTGGTGGTTCTAACACCCGCTTCCAGCACAATTACACAGGCTTCAGGTCAGGGGAACTCAATTGAGGAATTATTGGCTTTAATTTATCGGAAAATTTATTGATATATGAGTTGACCTTCTTCTTCTGATAATGCTAAGACTTCCTCCTGAATTCGTCGAACCGGTTTGTGATGATGAAGATTTTGACAGCCTTTTTCCTCCACCTAGGTGTTGCATATGGCTTCTGTGTGGTTCAATCCAGAGGATGAGGTTGCTTATAATTTTTGAATGCAGTCTGCTTCTGCGTGGTGGAAACTGGAGGCTGCTATGGCACTCCAACCTTTCTGTGGTCCTGTCCAGAAGATGATGTTGCTTTGGAGTTGATCTGTTATATTGCAGCTCACTCCTTTGATTGGGATCCCTCATCCTACCATTACATGGATGTTGGTTCCCAGTGACTGGTTTTGGATTTAGAGCAGGACTAATCACTATAAGTCTTCACACATATGTTGCTTGTGTTTCCTCTTCCTCACTCAGTTTGACTCATGCAACACCAACTCTGTGTCATGGAATCCAGAAGTTGATGTTGCTCCAAGCTTCTGTGCAGTTCTATCTGGAAGATAATGTTGAGTGAGGTAATGGTTCTCCCTGTTACGCTACACCTCAAGGAGTTTTGCGACCTAAAGATGAGGTTGCACAGTGGGGTGCCAGTCTGATTGAGTTTGATGTTACCTGCCAAATGGTCACATCTCTTACTGCTATCATTTGAAAGTTGGGTTCCTAGATGTATGGTTAGTTGTGCACATGTGCCCATTTCATAGATTGGTTTGCACAGTATATACTTCTGTTCTACTGAACTTTAGGACCCTCCTCCTACCACAGTCAAAGGTTATATTCCTGATACTGATTGGTTGTGGGCTGAAGTTGACCTGTCATGTACAGTCCATTGCACCCTAGCCATAATAAACCTAGGAGCACATCCATTTTTAGCTTTCCCCCCACATTACTATCTTTAGATGTTTCTTCTAAGGTCTTTCTTTGATGGGATTAAGATTATGATATAGTATGGTTTGGATTCCAATCCAACCATTTTTTTTCTCCCTTTTGGTTGTGCTCCTCCCTTTTTCTGCCCATGTATATGACACCTCTTTCCACACTGGGTGCAAAGTATACTCCATACAGAAGTGATGTGGTTTTCCACGTATGATCCTCTACTATTTCAATTCTGAGGTGTTCTTCAGACACATTCAAAAGGATGCTTATTTCTTTCCCTTAAACTAGCCCCTCCAACTATTGAATGTAGGATTATTGCTATATATATGAGTAGATGTAATGCACCATATCAGAAGTTATAAATTTTCTATACTGAAAATGTATTTCCAATAGGTACTTACCTCCTTTCACACTTCCCATCCTTCCTCCCCACTGAAAACTGGGGCTTCTTTTTCTGCCCAACCTTGAAGTTATAAATCGGTGGAATTGAATAGAGGGAGTCCTGTGTATCAGGAGGGTTGTCACATGATAATTTACATGCGAGATGCAGTTGAAGCATGATGATCTTGGGTGTACATGGGAGGGCAAGGCTTGTAACATGCAAGAGATTTTTACATATAGCATGCAGCACTGAATGAGAATAACTATGTATGTGAGAGGAGGTAATGTACAATACTGGAAAATTCTGACATTTGGTTGCATTTACAAAATCTATTTTTGGAGGCTCTAACATATATGTCACTGTTCTCTTGATTTTCTTTTGCTATGCTTTTTTCTTCATATAGAGCTTTTACTTCATTATTGATCGAGTTGCAAACATGTGCTAAAGACAGTGTTATGCTAGTGCACTTTGTGTAGGTTAATTTTTAAAATTACTGGTATGTTTCTTAAATTGGTTGTGCTTTATCAATTCAAGAACCTTCATAAGAGGGAGATATCCTTTGATAGATTGTTGAAATTTGGTTAAATGGATGGCAACTGGGTATTGTAGAGATACAAATATAAAGGATGAAGTTTTGAAAGTCTTTCATCTTCAGGTCAGTGTGTATGCTGTTGTCTGTCTTTATAGTATTCTGATGGGTTGTGGTTGGTTTATTCCTCTTTCTGATTGGTGGAGAGACTTCCTATAAATTCAACCAATGGTAGCCACAGGTTATTCACCTTTAATGTGAAATCTCTGTTAAATGAAGGTTTTATTGTGTTAGTATAAAAGGATTCTTTAATTTTTCTTGTCTTTCAGAAGTTGTCAGTGTCGATTATTCTAGTTTTTTCCTAGTTTATTTTGTATCCAATTGACAGTGTGTGTGTGTGTGTGTTTCTACAGTGGCTGAATTTTGTGTTTTCATGAGTCTCATACTGTCTTTATGTTATTTTATTCTTGTCGAGGTTACTCCTCCTCCTTCATCAAAAATTCCCTGAAGAAGACAATAACAGAAGGAGAAGAGAAGGAAAACACCACCACTACTACCACTTGCCTTCCGTATCTGCAATATTTCGGTGAAAAACTCAAATGCATAGCCAAAAAATTCAACAAAGACATCTGCTGGAAATCTTAAAAGATATTGAGATCCATCCTGGTAATAAACAGAAAACTACTAATGAGAAACACAAAAACGTCATTCATGAAATACTGTGTTCCTGCAACGAAAATTGCCCGGCATGGCCAGGTGGTTAGGGAGCAATATGCAGGACGTGAGTTTGAATCCACATCACACCAAACATGCTCGCCCTTTCAGCCGTGGGGACGTTATAATATGGTGGTCAATCCCACTATTCATTGGTAAAAGAGTAGCCCAAGAGTTGGAGGTAGGTGGTGATGACTAGCTGCCTTCCCTCTAGTCTTACACTGCTAAATTAGGGATGGCTGGCACAGATAGCCCTCGTGTAGCTTTGCGCAAAATTCAAAACAAACAAACAAGCAACGAAACTTATACATTGGAGAAATGCGAAGAAGATGTGCAACAAGAATACAAGAACATAAAGACAGTATAAGACTCGTGAAAACAAAAAATTCAGCTATTGGATAACACATGATGTCAACTGGACAGAAAATAAACTGGAAACAACTAGAATAATTGACACAGAAATATTTTGGAAGACAAGAAAAATTAATGAATCCTTTTACATTAACAAAATAAAACCTTCATTTAACAGAGATTCCAGATTAGAGGTGAGTAACCTGTGTCTACCATTGGTTGAATTTACAGGAAATATCTCCATCAATCAGAAACAGGGATAAACCAACCAATGATAACATGCCCTCCACAATCCACCAGAATACTATAAAGACTGACAGCACCATACAAACACTGACCTGAAGACAAATGGGGGAAGACTTTTGAAATGTTGTCTTTGATATTTGAGTCTCTACGACAGACAGTTGCTGTTCATTTAACCAAATTTCATCAGGGACATATCTTTTATCTTTTTTTTTTATTTCTCACAGAGTTGGTCTGTGTTGAATTGTATTATTCGTCACACAAATAGTTTGGTAAAAAAAAAAAACTATAATGATGCATTACCTAATTTTTATTTAAACATTATATTTAATGGATACATCCACAAAATAGATTAATTGTGGAATGTTTTATTTGAAACTACAGTGTTGACAGTATAATTTGTCTTTCAATCAGATTGGAGATTGTATGGAAACCTCTGCTATGGTTTTCTTCGTGGACAAATATCTGGTAAAGAAGCACTAAATTCGTGTAGAAAACGATATGATGGACAGGTGGCAGCTGTTCAGTCACTGGAACATAATAAATGGCTCCTTCAGTTAGCAGAAGGTAGACCTTTCTGGATTGGTAAGTTTCATCCACACATTTTCTTGCTTATCAACAAAACATAAACTTTTGTACTTTCAAGTATAATTGAAATATTTAACATTTGAGTACATTTATTCACAAGAAAGCTTTCAGTACATTGGATAAAGGGCATATAAGAACCACACATTGAAATAAAAGATAAACGATGAGAACGTTACTGGTAGATAGAGAGATTACGATAGTCAAACCAGTGTACTGGTATGTTCAGGACAAATAAACAAAGTGAAAACAGCAACTGGTCATAAAAAAATGTTTTAGTGCAGTATAAACAAATGATACAATATGTTATTAAAATCTAATAGATTCTGAGCAGTAAGGCTCTTTTTTCTTGTTTTTTTTTTTCACAGGTTGACACATTTCAAGTAATATCTTATGGGTTGCAATAAAAAGTAATAAAACTAATTTTATCATGATATTTGATTCATCCTAAAATCTTGTAATTTTAAGTATAAATTAATCCAAGTAATGAAACTTTTATTGTAATTGTTTTTAGGATGTTTGATAGCACAAACTTGCTGCTTTGTTACTATCACTCCCAAATATTGGTCCATATCCTAGGTCGTGCAAGTGCTTAACATTTAGTATAGATTTAGATACAGTTTAGATAAGATCATAATCTAGTCTTCAAACTCGTAAGTTTTTTTTTGTTGGTTTTTAAGCTCAAAAGGTTACTATGAGAGGAAAAATTATAAATCTTGTTATGAACACCTTAGCTTCTGGTGAGTAGTTTCCTGTGAAACTCAAAACCATTAGTTTTCTTTCATAAAGCAAATGTAGCTATGTTGATAAGTATTTATTGATATACACTAAAGAAACTTATGAATAAGTAACACGGTAACCTTAGTGTGTTTTTAGATGAAATAGGTGTTGAACTTTGGATTTTTAGTTCATTTTAAACTTGAATTTAAAGTAAATTTATAATGCTTATTTGTTTTTTTGTTTTACACAATTAAGGCTTACAGTACAACAGAAGAAATGCTAGATGGGGATACAAAGGTTTGTCTGAAGTACCATTTGTCAACTGGAAACCCCGATTTCCTAAGGTTTCTCGAAAGGGTCGAGTGAAACATCGATGTGTTTTGGTCAGAGGGACTGGCCAATGGATTAACAGGAACTGTGCAGGCCATCATCACAATATTGTTTGCTCTAGACCTCCGGGTTAAATACCATCTTAGCTATTAGATTTAATTTGCTATTCTTGCTTTTGCTTCATGTTTTTTATCATATGTTTATAGTTCAGCTTCAAGCAAATTAAAAAATGCAGAATATTATAGGCTGGTACTACTTATCTTAGGTTTATGACGATTGTATGTGAAGTATGTAATTTTTCTACTTTTTTGATAAATTTCCATCTTTTGTCTTAGGACAGTTAATGCATATTTTTACTTTCTCCAACATTTTTATATTACTTTTTTAACTCTTTTACAGAAAAAAATTATTTTATTACCATTGAAAATTATGTTAAAATAATTGTTTCAGCTAAATTGAAGGCTAAGTTATATTTTAGGTGTAGCTGAGAAAAAGTTCATGAAATGCTGACCTTAGTAACAGACTTTGTGTGTCTTTGGATGTGAAGCACAGCCTTGTTTACTATAACAAACAAGGAAACTTGCACATTAATAAGATTTTCGTGCATTTGCTTAATATGTGTTAGATTTGAATATATATATATATGTGTATATTAAAATCATTTTGAAGAAGGTTGAGTCAACTTTTGTTTTGATGGTTTCTTCCAGTCAAGTTCCATTTCACAGTATTGGTTAAACTCTGAAGGTATGTATGGTCAGTAAAAGATCTAATGTCAGGTGTGATGTGAAAAAGAATTTCTGTTTTAGAATCATATGGTGCATTGTAATTTTATATTTAAACTTGTAAATATTGCATATTTGTAATGTATTAAATAGCATTATTTTGTTTTCTGTGTTAGCCAATAGTAAAAAAACTTCAGAATGTGATTTTAGCACAAAAATGTAAAAATTACTGTTGGACATTTACATGTGTAACAACCAAAGATATTAAATGCTACATTTAACATCTTATATTAAAGAATAATTGTGGTTGCATTTAATTTTGTCTTCGAATTACTTCAACATTTTGATGAAAATAATCTGAATACTGGTAATTATGGATTCAAAACACTATATGTTAAAGTGTTTAATGTAATGGAACAATGATGTAGAAGTTGTCAACTCACACTATGTTTTAATATTGTAAGAACTCTAAATATTTCATGGAACATACTGTTGGAATGCAGCTTATTAATGACTGGTTATTAGTATTCTCATATGATCTTGAAGTAGTGTAATAATTTTTGTTTCAGTTAGAAAAATGCTTTGAAGTATACACCTTACCCTAGTCTGTAGTGAGTCAATGATGTAGAATTGTTCAATGATTAACAAAATTGATTTTTTGTTAATTTGAGCATTTTTTATATGGTTATTATAGTCATTTGAAACTAATCCATTTTTTAAGTCAGTCGAAAAAAAATCAAAACATTTTCTTCTAAAATTGTCCACTATAAATGTTAAACACTAGAATAATTAGATGTGAAAGCAATGCAGATGAGGTGCTTGCATAAGAATTGAAAATAAAGATTTTTAGGTGTAGTTTCATAAAAAATATTAAGCTTAATAAATACAGAAATTCTAAAATACTCAAGTACTGTATTGCAGATATGGTATTTCACTTCCTCAAAGTTGTGGCTGATTTGGATAGTTTGGCTGTGTTATTTGTTCTCTTTCTCCTAGAACTTATTTTATGTTGAAACTGTAATGAATTATTTCCAAGTGTAATTTTGATTTACTAATACTTTTTCCCATTTACTTAAAACTGACATAAATTTAAAAATCAGTTATTTGAAGCCATTACTTTTTAACAAGTATAAAAATATATTAGGTAAAAGTGATGTAATAAAAAATACTGATTATTTTAATTTCACCAAAAGTAGTTAATTTTAGGTATTCCTTTTTCTTTACAATATTTAAAAATAAGAAGCAATTTTTTTAATAGAATTCTTACTAATACTTGTTATGAAATATATCTAAGATATTATTAGAACAATACTCAAACATACGTTGTTTAATGATGCTCTAAATACAAAAACAAAATGGAGTATATATATATATATATATATAATACTACATCTTTTTAATGATGTTTTTAATTTATAAAAATCTGATTTTTGCCAAAAATGCTTTTACTCACAAATTTAAATACTGTTTCAACACATTTTATTGAAAAATATAATAGTTTCATGTAATATGGACATTATAATAATGCCACTATGAAGAGCCAGAGTTGGGCATAGCTGAGTGATTAACGTGCCTGGACTGTGAATCTGAGGGTTCTTAGTTCATGTCCTCCCACCACAAAAGTGCAACTTTTACTTTGAGAATATGAGTGTGCTATAAGAGTAATGGTGAAATTATGCTATTTGGTCAGATAAAAGTAGTCCAAGAGGTTGGCAGTGTTTGCTGTTAACAAGCTGTCTTCCCTCTAGTCTGTCAGTTCAAAATTAGGGATGGCTGTTAACTAGCTGTCTTCCCTCTAGTCTGTTAGTTCAAAATTAGGGATGGCTGTGCACAGATAATCTTTTTTGTAGATTTTCACAAAAAATTCTGAAACAAACGAATTGAAAAGGTACTTTGAGTACTACCATACTTTGAAAAAGTACACGTAGTTCCTTATATTCTAGCACCCCCAGTGTCACAGCAGTAAGTCTGTGGACTTAAAACACTAACAACCGGGTTTCAGTACCCATTGTGGGCATAGCACAGATAGCCCTTTGTGTAGATTTGTGCTAAATTACAAACAAACAAACCTTATATTGTAAAACCTAATAATAATCTATTTTTTAAAGGTAAAGCTTAGCAGATTTTTTTCAGTGTATTTTATGATATTATTTTGGAAAAGAATATATAATTTTAACTTTTTATTTAAATAAAACAAAAAAGGCTTAAAACTTGATGCAAGTGTTTAAAAAATCATCCATCAGACTAATGATTTAGAGATTTGCCATAGTCTTGTAACACAATACACATCTTTTAGACAAAAGAAGTGTTCGAAAGCATAAAGGTGTTTATCAACAAATTTAGAAATAGTAATAATATGAAAATTGAACATCAGTTAATTTGTGTATTAGCAAAATTATGGTTGTGTAAGGATTAGATGTTGACATTGAATATATGATTTTATATAACATACACTAAGGATGTTGGAATAATTATTAAAAAAAAGTAACTAAGTATTCCGCAACAGGCAAAATATTCTTAAGTTGCAGTTTTTTGCTACTTTAGCTTGTTATTTTGAGGAAAAATTATGATAGTGTATTTCCATGTATGTCGTGATGTTTCTTAGACAAGTATGTACATTTCATATACACTGAATAAACTGAACCAAACTGCCTGATCCTACATTTAAATTGAAAATATAGATCTATTAATCAGATAAGTAATTTGTGCACTGGTTTCTTTTGTGGTTTGGGTTGGTCATTTATAGTGACCAAACATATCTTCAACAGAACTATATATATATATATATATTATGAGGCAGTTAAAGTATTCTCAATAGAATTTTTTTCAGATAGTCCAACTTTTTCATGAATTGTTTGACTGTTGTAAAGTCCAAGAAATCTCCAAATGAACTTTTTTATCTTCAGTTAACATCAGAATTTTTTTTTGTATTAATAATGTGCCCAGTATTTGATTTAGCAGTATAACTTGGTGTTAATATTGTGGTTTTATAATGACATATACAATTATAAAACATTTTTTTCATTAAAAACATATTCTTTATTATTTTTTCTCCAATAATCTTACTTTTGTTTATCTCAGTTTATAACCCAAGCAACATGCTTAATGATTTGACATTGAAACATCACTTCTCACAAGGGTGAAACAAACAGTTGTTTGCAATGTGGCCTAGCTGCTTGTGCTTCCTTGAAAATTCTACTTGTTACAAGATGTATTTAAAGTTATGATAGATGTATTACCTTTTTTAGCAATGTTATTCATTTATCATGTTGAAAATATTTATATTATTTTCGAAAAGGTGCCAATTAGAATTCCACAGTTGTCTTGTATTGTGTAAGTATTTTGATAGTGTAAAAACACTTGTAATGCAATTTAGTAAGCTTTACATTTAACCTTTTTTTTTTCAAAGAAGACAAATGTACTTTTGAATAAACAATAAACCTAGAGAACTAATGTTTGTTTTTTGTTTTGAATTCACAGATTTTGAGGTTGAAACAAATTCACCAACAACATATTTCTAAATGTATATATCATTCACACTGAAAATGAAGATGATTGAAGACAACCAACTGCACAAAAAACTTGTTAAAGCCGCCCCCCCCCCCTCTTCCCCAGTGGCGCAGCGGTATGACCGCGACTTACAACGCTAAGTGAGCACGGCACAGATAGCTCATTGTGTAGCTTTGTGCTTAATTACAAACAAATTGAATATACTTGATGTATTTTTTGTCAACTATATACAAGAAACTTTTGGAATTTTTTAAAATATTTGTTTAATTGGAACTGTATGAAAGTGGAAGCTGATGCGAAGGAAATGACTGTTAGTTATAGATACTCTCTAATAACACATGAATCACATAAAATACGATCAATTAATTAGTCCCACTAATTATTGTTGGGGTTCCCATGTGTTTTCATAGAAAATGAGTAATTTTAACCCAGTTTCTGGTCAGTTCTTTGCGCTGACTTTTATAACAGAAAAGCAGAATTATTCAATATGAAGTAATATGCGAACCACATCAGAAGTGAACAGAACAAAGAATTGCTGGTAATTAGAAAACTGGTCTAGTGGTTAGCGTGCTGATATTGTGAATCATAGTTCACGCCCTTTGTCACCAAAACACCTGCACTTTGGGGCCATGGGCATGATATTAAAGGAATGGTCATATTGTACTATTCGGTCAGACAAGAGTGTGGTGGATGCTGCTTATTAGATTTCTTCCTTTTAGGTTGTGAGTTCAAGATTAAAAACAGCTAAACGTGTATAGCTTTGCGCCAAAATTCTGAAATATAGAAATAAAAGGAAATATATATGTATTTCCACATTTCGGAAAATGTGGGTGCATTATAAAAGTGGCGATCAAATCCCACTATTTGGTCAGAGAAGAGTTAGTTGCGGGTGCTGTGAACAAGTTGTCTTTCTCCTAATTTATAAGTTCAAAGTTAGGGACGATTATGAGCAGATAACTCTTTGTGAGAGTTATGAAACAAATTACAGAAGAAAGAAAAACTATACACTACCCTAAAACAAATTAACACAAATATGAAGATACTTATAATTCAACAACAAATATTAATTATATAGGGAATGTTCAATTTTCAACCTTGATTCAATAATACATTTATGGATCTCGCATTTTTTCTTCTTCTATTTCACTATAGTGGTATTGTATTTTAACCTCAAACATCTTTACAGATGCCACTTTGTGACGGGACTCCGCTATTGAAGGGAAGAGAGCCGGTGGTTATTTTGTAAAGAAATAAACTTTGGATAAAAAACAAAACTTGTATAAATATGTTAAGTCAAATTCAAAGAATCCAGAATGAAACTTGTGCTTTTGGCAGATGGACTTGTCTTCCTCAAGAAGATCAGAGCAAGTTACCTACCTAGGGCTAAACTAAAAATCAATCCCATAAAGAGTATAGCTAACTAAGCATGTTTTTATTATGTTCTTACTTATAAAAATTAGAATGCTTTGCTTCATAATTCGGGTACCCTCAATGTTAAAGATATTTTCGGTCGTAAGGCCAATAATATCTCACGAAGTTCGACCAGCTCAGGAAATTTATATTATTCCTAAACCCACATACTAAGGAAACAGTGCAAAACAATCTATATAATAAAAAATAATAGAGTTAGATATATTAAATACAATACTGTTCATAAAGTAACATTAAAGAAATAATAGAGTATACGAAGAAACACTAACTGTGAAGCTGTGATTTTGAACCAATATAGGCATAGTTAATTTTTACTCCAAGAAATAATTGAAATGTTTCCCAGAACAGCATAGTCTATTAGAAGAAATTCAGTAGATAATAACTTCAATTCGGATTACATTTTCTTTGATTAGGTTTACATTAAAATAAAGAATTAAAAACAGAGGAGCTTAATGTTCAACTGCTAGTTTTCTTATTCTTTAATTTGAAAATGTAGAAAAGCTACAGATGTCACTACCTTTCTAGGCTGCACAACCGCATTCTGTCGTTACGATAGGTATAACCATGCTGTAACAACCTGTCTGCAATAAAGATCCAGTTTAAAAATTACACTTACACGGTATAGAATCTAGTAACTTATTAAGCTTCAAATTTTAGCACGCTGAAGCTGTATCATTCTACTTGTAGTTCTGTAGTGAACACCTAGTAAGGGTTTGGTCACCTTTACTGAGAGGTTAACAAGTTCAGTTTAACTTAAGTTTATGTGAACATTACCAATGTTATTTAAAAATAAAATTATGTAGGCTTTTTAGTATATTATTCTGCTAATCTCCATCATCTGATATTAATAATATTACTCAGTGGATCAAATTATGTGATTTTTTTAATATGGTTGCACTGTGGATATTTGACGTGTATTATCGAACTTTTCAATTTTGTATTTGTATAATTTATTCCGAAAAACAGTGAGAAGCTGCTATGGATGTGGTTTGTCACTTCATAACGGTTTTAACTTGGTGTAAGCCTACTTTATTATTCATGCTAACAATATATCGGATAACGGTAACTTTCAGTTTCAAATCATTCCGAAGTCACTTGACGAGAACTTCACAATTCTTTATTCTAATAAGTATGATTTTAGCTTTATGTCTTTCTTCCTTTCCGAATTCTTCAACTGGTAAAGGTACTACTAGTAACGGTATCGCTTATGCGGTCTCGGTTTATGCAAAAGAACAAGGCACGGATAATTTATCAGAAGCAGGTAGGTCTAATGAGGTTAATTAATATTACCATTAGGACTTAACTTTTTAGCACATTTTTAAGGGTGTAAATCTAAAGTTACGATTTAATATTAGTAATCCCGTCAACTTGCATTTTATGCTATTATTACTGATAGCACAACTAATAATAGTATTACTATAAAAATACACGATGTCATTTTGAATATTACTTACTATTAGTAAGTAATAACTAATATTCAAAATGTAATCAGGTAAGTATTTTTATCTAAGTAAATTGGCATTTCATTCAACACAAAATTATGTTTGCATTAGCTCATATTAGTGTACTAATTACTATTATTATACTTGTATTTAAATTTTGGAAGTCACAGTTAACTATGTGTTTGGCCTATTGTTAGACCTACATACATATTTGACTATGTATTTTTTTATTCTTACTGTATCAAGTTAGTACGTGTATTATTATTAAATATAGATTTATCATCTTGCACATCTTATTTCAGTTTGTGTGAAGGTCTATTTTTTTTATAACTTGAGTATTTTAATCTTTGATGGATAGTTATATTAGAAATAAATTGCCCTTCCCTGTAAAATTCAGCCTAACTTGTTCACCTGCATAAACTAAAAGAAATGCTTGGTATGCCTCATGTATATTGTTTTGTGAGAAATTTGGAAAATTAAAAAAGTTCTAATATATTAAAGTTGAATTGATGTATTTGTTTTAAATTTCAGTGGAAAATCTCTTATGTACAACATGAGGTTTTTAAATCAAATAATTGTATACTTTGAGAAAATGTTATATTTCCACCCCAAGGCAAATGATACAGATTTAACTAATATCAGTAAATACAGACCAGTATTTGATCTCCCTTAATTAAGATCTGTTTATAACCATAAATAGTATATTATATTAATTCTTGTGTTTAAGGCATCTTTAATGGTAGAGGAAACTTTCCTTTGATTTATTATTATGAAGTTTAGATTGTGCCTTCTTGAAGCCCTTTCTTGTTTAGATAGGTTTTATTGAGTGTTCTTCATTTATTTATTTTTATCTTCCATGTGTTATAAAATGCCTAACTGGGCCACTTGGCATTTTAGTATTACTCTTTAAATAAAAAAAACATGATGCTTTATTTACACTGATGCCACATGGTTTTATTTACCTAACAAGTTGTCAGTTGCTAAGAGAGATAAAATGCAAGTTTCTCATCACTTAAATGGAGTTGTTATATTAGTAACTGTAGAGTATTGTTATTGTTGAGTATATCAAATATTGTCATTTGATTTGCTTTCAATACCCTTCTGTATTATAGAAGCTAGAAAGATATCAAGCTTAGCATATTTTCATCTCTTATAAGCAAACATTGTCAACATCTTTCTATGAACTTATTCTTTAGTAAGTGAAATGTTAATGTATTTATATAGTTATTTTACATTTGTAAAATATGTGCATATATTTTAAAATTTGTCATTTAAAACTATAGTGCTTAAAATATGAAACATACTAGAATTGTATGCATTTTATTCATTTAATTACTCTTAAATACACACACACACACACTTATATGTAAACTACTAGTAGGAGGCCCCCACTCCACCATTAAAGTCAGTTCTTCCTCCCTACTTTTGTTTTGCATTTTTGAAGATTCTGTTTGTAAATTATAGCTTTTGGTGTGAAAAATCTTGGTACCCATTAAACTGTACTATTTTAGACATATTTGTAAAAAGAACTTTGGGAATACAACCAGGTCATATTTATAGACATATTGCACCTTCGACACTTGAATGCTTTGCACCACATCAGTCACTGTCACCAATTACAAATTCTGAAAGAAAGCTTGACTAGTTATGATATTTAGTTTTTTGGTTGGTATGAAATAGTGGCACAGTTCTTTAACCTTATGTGTATGAATGGGGGTCAAAGTGCACATGCTTTTACCTTTTCAGTGACATTCAACATGGTATTAAGTATTTGATGTCAGAGTTATAAGCTATTCATTTTAGCAACAGTTCATGGTAAAGGAGAGTAAATACCAGATATAATAAACAGGAATACCAAAAAAAATTGTAGATATGCATTTCAGAGGTTATGCAAATTCAATATGCAAACTCTACAATGGATAAAACTATTTTTATTCTTCACATAAATAACAACTTGCACTTTGACTTGTCAGAATTTGTGTTAAATTGACATCATTAATTCGTATGCATATTTTAACACATTTGACTTTTTTGTGTACAACAGTATTACACATTTTACTAAAAGCTTGCCACATTTTGTGTGGATATAGTAAATTTGGAATTGTAATCAAAGTTCCTAATCCCAAATGAGGTTAGTCCACTGGACTGAGCCTATGCACCTTCAGTTAATGATTTCTTTGTTTTTACTGGTTATGAAGCACATATGTGTAATAAAAGAATAATATTATTTCACAAAAAGTTTGATTAATTTTATTTTTGTCTAATTCTTATTTCCAGTCCTAACAAGATTCACATTATTACAAGTTAAAGAAATAATGAGTAGATCTACAAGCATGTTTTAGAATTAAACAGCAATAACATTAAGCAGGTAATTAAAAAAAAATTTTATTTATATACTGTAGATTGGGTCTTATCTACATAACTCTTTTTTTTTTTTTCTTCCATCAACATAGTTATGGTAAGATGAATGTCAAACTTTGGAAATAACCAGTAACCTCTTCAAATATAGAAAGAAATACAATATATATATATATATGTTTATATATATAGTTAGTTTTTTGTCATAGTTATTTAATTGATAAAATAATTGTTCTTTCTAAAACATTACAGGATGCAGAGAAAACAAATGGGTGAAAAACTTCTAGATTTTGTGATACCCAGTTTTAAACTTTCTATTTGAAAATGAAAAGTATAAAACCATAAATTAAGTACAATGAATATATTATAAATGTATTTTTACTTATAACTAACATATGGGAAAAAAAGGAACTATTTGATCCTTCAAGGCTATTCTCACACACTTGTCCCAAGAACAAATGAAAATTAAACCCACTTTTATTTTTCAGGAAACCAATGATTCCCCTCTTAAACCCTTGAAAGGTGTTTTTTTTTCCATCAGCACTGATGGCACTTATTTCATAAGCCAATCACATTGTCAGAAAAATAGTCTTAACTAAGGCTCCTTATTTTTTCAAAATCTTCAACCTTTTCTTCTTATCCTATTGCCTTCAAAATTCCTTGAAAAGAAATCAGAGGTTATTAGTGGTTGGGTGTAATATGTGCATAGTTGTCAGTTGAAAAGATAAAATTTACTTACATAACATCTATATTATATGTAGGGAGAGTGACATATACTTCAGAAAGTCATATGGTGATTTGCTTTTTAGAAAAAGTCAAACATTGGATTGTGCATGAGAAGTGTGTTACCATTTTTGACACAGAAGAATATGCTTTGTTCAGATAAAATAATTAATTGTTTAATCAGGCACAATACGTTTGCTCCAGGAAAGGCTTAATCTGTATTTTAGGTCACCCACCTCATAACCCACTTGAGTAGCTCGGAAATTTTCTTCGATCTAATCTTAATTACTGTGCTAATATTTTTGGGTAAAGTCTAGGACTACTCTCATATTTAGCACTTTTGTTGAAAACCATAATTAGGATAATTATTTTCATAAATACTTTTAAAATGATTTTTTTTTTTTACTGTGTTTAGTTCTGTGACCCACAGATTGGGGACCACTGAGGAAGTGATATGAAATGGAATTTTATTCACTGCATCATGATATTTCTAACCATTTAAAGCAGTGTATATGATTCTTTTATATTTAGAAATATGATTTAATATTTCAAAATCCATTGTTTTAACATTCATAACCTAAGTTTCATTGATTTCAGAATCAGCTTACAAATTAATGTTTTTAATGCCAAAGTGATTGTCACTTGTTAAAACAACACATTCTATGAGGGGTAGTTTCAAGTAACTGTTGTGTACAAAAATTGTATGGAAAATGCAGAATTTGAATTTTTGTCAAATCTGCTTACACTGTTTTCTTTGTGCCCGAACAGTTGGAAACAGCACGTGATCACTAGCAAAATAAGGCAAAAACTATAAATAAAGTCATCATCATGGTGGGAATGGATTCATATGAAATATGAATAGATTTGTCATTATAAAGTATTCAAATCACTTTTTCTTTGAAGTACTTTCCGTCTAGTTAGGGTACTGTTCTAGAAATAATGCTGTACTTTGATATTGAGACCTTTAAAACTGCACCATCTGTGTCATGAATTAATCCAAGCCCTGGTAGATGAACGAATGGCAGAAAAACTATAAAGTTACAGAATCAACAAAACTGGTATCTCATATTTGCACTTCCTTCTTCCCTGCTTATGACATTTTTACGTTTGCATATTGTACACAGTACATCTAAATGCTTTTCCGTTACTCTTATTTCTGTATTTATGTGAGTCTCTTTACAGTGGACATGAGTTGGTGGTTTCTTTAAGTTAACTGTAATCGCTACATCCATGTAAATGTATGAAATCACTTATGAAAGATATTTACTTTAGAAAAACGTTTTTATACGTGTGCATGAACACATTCAGAAATATTTTTAAAAACTGCCATTACATGATTATGATAATAACCTGTCTATTAAGGATATTTTACGAATGGACTAAAATGTAAATTCCAGTCGACAGTTTTTTTTTAATTCAGCCGGCTCTTACTTTACACAGCCTTCATTTCCTTCCCTCTTGTACGAAGTTATGAATTGTACTAGCGAACCCGTGGGCCTATGACCCACATTTACAGAAATGTAAGTTTAATTTCTTTAATCAAGTTACAAACGTTAATTAGTAAGCCTACTTATTTACGTGTTTTAACTTAAATCAGTCCCTGATTTGGAGTTCGTTTTGGGGGACTCCCTGTAAAAGTGTTTTCGCGAAATACCCGGGTTCCCTAAGGGATTGGGTGAAAGTTTCACCTTTGTGCAAACTTACCTATACGGTTGATGACAATATGAATAATTATGATAGACCAAAGTACTTTTGTATTTTTACTTGGTTTTATGTTTTTCAAGTATTTTTAGCAATACAGTATAGATAGGTAAAAAAAAAGTAAGATTCATGGAATTAAATGGGTGATGTGAATGGATTTTGTCAAACATGTAGTATATGTAGATGAAAAACTAAAATGAAAAAGCATTGCTTAAGTCATGCTATAAATATTTTCAATATCATTTCTTCTCTCTTTTAAACAACAACACGTTTTATGTACTTTATACCTCGCTGAATTTTTAAAAGTCCTCAACATTGCTTACCCAAAACGATCCTCTATTTAATTTTACGAATACATGAACATGTTCCAGTGGTTAGCATGGTTGGACTGTGAATCCAAGGATTCTTGGTTCGCGTCTCCTTGTTACAGAAACGCGCACCACACTTTGCTCAGCATATGCTATAAGCATTTTAGTCAAGTCCTAGCATTCGTTTAGATTAGAGTAGCTCAGGCGTTGGCGATGAATGCTGTTGACTAGCTGCCTTACCTCTACTATTGTCTCCTGGTAGGTCAACGCACGATGTTTACAGACTGAGAACTCTGAAAGCCGGAATTCGATTCCCCACGGTGGATATAGTGCAGATAGTCCATAAGTGTAACTTTGCGTTAAAATAACAACTTACTTTCTGATCTATCACTTCAATATTAGGGACCACTACTGTGTTTTATGTATTCCAGCCGACCTAATGAGCTCTGGATTAAATGAAACGCGTCGTTGGCAACAGATATGGCGAACATAGTGTGGTTGGAATACTATTATTCAACACTGCTAATTCTTGAAATTTCCTAAAGAACTAGATAAAGAATGCAGTGTTAAAAATGTAACAGGCCTGATACTATTGTCGTATGACAAGTATAATTAATTGTACAATGGTATGGTAATAGCGTGAAACAATAAGTTTCGCTGCGGAAAATTCCAAGAACAGACATATTTGAAAATATAGTTGTAAATAACAACCATGTATGACTTTTTATAGACTACTCGTATTAAATTAATTTATTGAAGGGAATTTACAAAGTAGGCGTTTGTTGCAATCAGTCGGCTGTTAACATATGTCTTCTCTAAAACAAGTAATCGAAGAAATGTCGAAATGTGCAAGAAATTCGAACGCGAGTATTTATCAAAGCCTATGTTGCTATGATCTAATAATATTTCTCATCCAGAGTTGTCATTAAAAACTAGCATCAAAAATATTGAACTGTGTGAATGATTTAAGTTGCGGTTGTTAACCCAGACATACAAAACTTTGTAACAACAAGTAATACAAAAATTAAAAAATAAGGATGATTTAGATTGGCAAAAATTGCAGAAACAAGTTAGAAATACACAAAACCATACAAAAATGCCTACATAAATAGCCAAATATTTCCAAGAAAAACTTTTATTTACAACTAAATGTTGAATTCTTTTCATTTGCATGACTCAGTGGCTACTTGTGTAAAGGTTT